GTTTTATTCATAGACAGGCTTTGGCAACCAAAACTTTACCAGGTAGTTTGAAAACTGTATTTAATCAATTAGTCAAGTTGGTCATTTATATAAAATCTTCTGCTCTTAACACTCGCCTTTTTACAAAATTTTGCTCTGACCTAAATGCTGAACACAATAAGTTATTGTTTTATACTTCTGTGCGATGGCTATCTGCTGGAAATTTTTTGGAAAGACTTTTCATGCTTAGAAATGAAGTGAAAGAATTTTTATGTCAAATGAAAAGTGGACTGGTAGAATATTTTGAATTTGATAATTTTGAAATAACAACTGCTTATCTTGTGGACATTGTAGGTCATTTTAACAAGTTAAATTTGCAACTTCAAGGCAAAAATGCTAATGTTATTACACATTCAGATAAACTGAAGGCATTTATTGAAAAGCTCAAACTGTACAAGACTAGAATTAATAATGGAAACTTGATCATGTTTCAAAATTTAAATAACATAATTGGAGTTAACATGCTTCCTGAAGTTATAAAGACAGAAATAGTTTGTCACCTAGATAATTTGATTACTGAATTTGGTAACTATTTTCCAGATATGAATCTTTTGAGCAGTGAAGTTATTATATCACCATTTTCTTGTGATGTGAAAAATGTGAAAGAGGAAGCACAAGAAGAGTTTATAGAGTTAAAGAATGATACCACGGCTAAGGATCACTTCAAAGTAGCACCATTAAATATCTTTTGGTTGAAAATGAGGAATTGATATCCATTGCGTTCATCAATTGCACTTAAAGCCCTTATTCCTTTTTTTAACATCATATTTGTGTGAAGCCGGGTTTTCAGCAATGCTATCTCTTAAAACAAAAAAAAGAAATAGACTTGATATTGATGCAGATATTAGATGTGCTCTATCAAAAACTAAACCAAATTTTCAGATATTAATTGCTAGTAAGCAGTGTCAGAATTCACACTGATCTGTTCTTGTATCATACATAAACTAAGATTTTTGTGTCATTGATAAATATTGATTTTGTGTCTAGTCTATTCAAAAATACCTTAAATAAAATATTATCCTTATGAATAAAAGTTACATTATTAAAATGTTCACCTTATAATAATTTTTAAAATCAAAGGGGTCCATGAAGATTTTAGGATATTTAATTTGGGGAACGGGTTAGAAAAGGTTGGGAACCACTGGTCTAGTTTTTTTCCTTAAACATCAGTTCTTTGGAATTAGCTTCCTTCATCTTGTTTTCCTGATTCATATAATTTGTAACCTTCTAAGTCATCTGTCAATCATTATCTTGCTCTACAATCTTTATCTTTTCTCTTCCAGTAACTTCCAACACTAATTAGTGGTTGCTTGCAACCTTGTTGAAAGCAAACATGTTTAAAAAAAAAAAAAAAGATTTGAGAGTCGAATTAGAAAAAAAATTTTTACAAATAGTTCTGCATTATTCTTGGGAGATGTAAGATCAGTCCCATGAATGAGAGAAGGAATGTTAGACCTACCTACTTAATGATGCTGTTAAAGAAGTCTCTATAACCTAACTTCTGAGATAAGATACCAGATTTAGATGTTATCTCTGATCAAATTGACCATGCCCTCTCTCTTTACCCCTCTGCCAATATTGTTGTTGTTGGTGATTTTAATGCTCATCACACTGAATGGCCTGGCTCTAACACCACTGATCCAGCTGGCACTAAAGCCTTTAACTTGTGCGTTTCTCAATCTCTTACTCAGATAGTTAACTTTGTGACTCGTTTTCCTGACAATCCTAATCATTTACCTCCACTCCTTGACTTATGTCTTGTCTCTGACCCTAGCTTATGTCCAGTTTCTCCCTTTTCTCCCTTAGGTGGTTCTGACCATGCAATAATCTCTATAAATCTTTCTTCTCGTACTTCTTTTTTGGGCTCACCTTATCATCGCACCACCTACTACTACCCTAAAGCTGACTGGGATTCCTTTCGTGATTTTCTTCGTGTTGGTCCTTGGGCTGATGTTTTTTCTCTCTCAGCTGACAAATGGGCCTCCTACATAACCTCCTGGATTCAGGCTGGAATGGAAGCTTTTATTCGTTCTCGTCGGTTTCAAGTCAAGCCTCATTCTACTCCATGGTTTTCTCCTTGTGCGGCTGCTATATCCAATCGTAATCATTTTTTTCATCTTTTTCAAAAGAACAACTCTCTTGAGAACAAACGGCTATTTATTATTGCAAGAAATCGATGTAAAAAGGTGCTTTCTGATGCTAAACTCCATTATTCTCAGTTCACTAAATCTCGCATCTTATCACAGAAGTTAGGCTCTAAAGACTTTTGGAAAATCTTCAACAGCATTATTAACAAGGATAGATCTAACATTCCATCTCTCATTCATGGGACTGATCTTATTACCTCTTCCAAGGATAAGGCAGAACTATTTGCAAAGAACTTTTCTACTAATTCCACTCTTGAATCTTATGGACATTCTCTTCCTTCCATTCCAGTCAAACAGGTTGACCCATTGTTAGACATTCAAATCACTCTGGCTTCTGTTGCTAAAGTCATATCTCAATTAAACTCGTCTACAGCTTGTGGTCCAGACAACATTCCTGTCACAGTCTTGCAGAATTGTTCTCCATAACTTTCTTCAATTCTCTCTAAACTATTTAACAAGTGTTTGACTGAGTCTTGTTTTCCTGCTTGTTGGAAAATGGCATCTGTGGTTCCAATATTCAAAAACTCTGGAGAAAATTCTGACCCCTCCAATTATCGTCCGATCAGTCTTCTTTCTGTTATTAGCAAGGTCTTTGAGTCTTTGATCAACAAATTCCTAACATCTCATCTTGAGTCAAATAAACTACTTTCAGACAATCAATACGGTTTTCGATCCTCTCGCTCTACGGCCGACTTGCTAACTGCTGTAACTGAAAGATTTTATCGTGCATTAGATGGAGGCGGTGAGGCTAGGGCGGTTGCTCTCGACATATCTAAAGCTTTCGACAAAGTTTGGCATGCTGGTCTTCTCCATAAGCTTGCTTCATATGGTGTTTCTGGGAAAGTTTTTGAGATTATCAAATCATTTCTTTCTAACCGGTTTATTAAAGTCATCCTTGAAGGCCATCACTCTTCTTTATTTCCAGTAACTTCTGGGGTTCCCCAAGGTTCTATCCTGGGCCCTGTTTTGTTTCTTATCTACATAAATGATCTTCCTGACAACCTTTCACCTAAAGTAGCTCTTTTTGCTGATGACTCAACTTTATACTCCTGTCTTGACAAAAAGTCCTCTCTTTTCGATCGCCTAGAACAAGCAGCTGATCTTGAATCTGATCTCACTTCAGTAATAGATTGGGGTTCACAGTGGCTTGTGAATTTCAACTCTAAAAAGAACCCAATTGCTTACTGCAAACAACTACCGTAATATGGTCAACATTCCTATATTAATGAATGGCAATCCTCTTACTGAGTCCTCCTCTTTATGTCTTCTTGGATTATCGCTTACTACTGACCTTTCATGGAAACCATATATACAATCAATTGCTAAATTAGCTTCTGCTAAGGTTGCTTCTCTTTATCGTGCTCGCCATTTCCTTATTTCTGATTCCATTCTCTACCTCTACAAATCTCTTATTCGTCCCTGTATGGAATACTGTTGTCATATTTGGGCTGCTCTAACAATTCACTTTCTCTTCTTGACAAGGTCCAAAAACGCATTGTAAATGTTGTTGGACCTGGACTATCTGCTAAGCTTGAACCTCTTTCCCATCGTCATAAAGTTGCATCTCTTTCTCTTTTCTACAGATACTATCATGGTCACTGCTCAAAGGAGTTATCATCTCTAGTTCCATCAACTAAAATTCATTCTCGTTTTACTCGTCATTCAGCTAAGTCTCATTCGTTTACTGTATCTGTCCCTGCATGCTCTAAAAACTTTTATTCATCTAGTTTTTTTCCCCGCACTTCAATCCTTTGGAACTCTCTCCCATCTTCATGTTTTCCTGACTCATACAACCTTCAACTTTTCAAGTCTTCTGTCAACCGTTTCCTTGCTCTATAACTCTGTTCTTTTTTTTTTCCTAGTAACTCCCAACTTAATAGTGGTTGCTTGCAGCCTTGTTGGGAGCGAATGCAAATAAAAAAAAAAAAAAAAAAAAAGATTTAGTGAACTCAGAATAATGGAGCATAAGACAGTACTTTTTAAATTGATTTCTAGCAATAATAAAAGTCCTTTTATTTTGAAAGTAAATGAGTATATGTAAACATTACTTGATACATTTTATCAATTATTTATTTCTTTTTTATCATTTTTGGACCATATTTATCCAGAGAATTTTATTGTTTAATGTTTTTGACAGCTTTAATAATGGCATAAACAACCTATATCCAACAAAACAATGTCTTAATAAAAAACAATCCTTAGCTAAGACATACAACCTAAGTATTATAGCAACAGAATTATAGCAACAAAAAAAAATGATTTATCAATTGTTTGAAAAATTATTTTTAATTATTATTACCAATTTAAACTTTTTCAAATCAATGAAAAAGTTTAAATTGGTAATAATAATGTATGTGCATAAATATTGTTTAGAAAAAAATGGTCAACCATACCACAATTTTCACAAGTCACTATTTTCATAGTATTTTATTTCTAAAAATTTTCTAATAATCCCTTTTTTATAAATATAAACAAGAATAAATTAAGAGAAGAAACTTAAGATGACTTAAATATTCTTAAATTTCTGCAAAATGATTTCTTTAAGTCTAATAAAATGAATCAATCTTTTGGTAAAGATATTTTTTGGTGAGAGACTAAATTTTCTTAACTTTTTTTGATATATGAAGGTCTCCTCGATTATAATACATTTCAAAACATTGTGTGCACAAAAAAAGTGGGTGGGTAAAGAAAACAAACAAAAGAATGCCTTGGTATACTAAGAAAAAAAAAAGAAATTAGTCAATTAAGATCATTCTGAATAGTGTAATTTATATTATGCATAATATAAATTGTATAATACTCTTAAAAACTAACCTTCACAAAGTAAAGTCATTGAACAGGCCAGTACTCAGAAAATAGAAAAAACCAATTCTCATATATGATCAAAATCCTTTCTCAATTAAAGTAAAAAAAAAATTTCTGTTTGTCCTTTTGCTCAGAAACTTCTTGTGGTCTAAAACTAAAATATATATTGAACTATCAGTGATACATAAGTACTAAAAATTAGTAAAACAAATATTTTAAATATACATACATAATATATGTGTGTATATATATACATAAATAAATATATATTCACACGTATATATATATATATATATATACATAAATAAATATATATACACACGTATATTTATATATATATATATATATATATATATATATATATATATATATATACACGTATATATATATACAGTACTCAGAAAATAGAAAAAACCAATTCTCATATATGATCAAAATCCTTTCTCAATTAAAGTAAAAAAAAAATTTCTGTTTGTCCTTTTGCTCAGAAACTTCTTGTGGTCTAAAACTAAAATATATATTGAACTATCAGTGATACATAAGTACTAAAAATTAGTAAAACAAATATTTTAAATATACATACATAATATATGTGTGTATATATATACATAAATAAATATATATTCACACGTATATATATATATATATATATATACATAAATAAATATATATACACACGTATATTTATATATATATATATATATATATATATATATATATATATATATATATATATATATATATATATATATATATATATATATATATATATATATATATATATATATATATATATATATATATATATACACGTATATATATATATATATATATATATATATATATATATATATATTTTTTTTTTTTTTCTTTTTTTTTTTTTTTATTTGCATTCGCTCCCAACAAGGCTGCAAGCAACCACTATTAAGTTGGGAGTTACTAGGAAAAAAAAAAGAACAGAGTTATAGAGCAAGGAAACGGTTGACAGAAGACTTGAAAAGTTGAAGGTTGTATGAGTCAGGAAAACATGAAGATGGGAGAGAGTTCCAAAGGATTGAAGTGCGGGGAAAAAAACTAGATGAATAAAAGTTTTTAGAGCATGCAGGGACAGATACAGTAAACGAATGAGACTTAGCTGAATGACGAGTAAAACGAGAATGAATTTTAGTTGATGGAACTAGAGATGATAACTCCTTTGAGCAGTGACTATGATAGTATCTGTAGAAAAGAGAAAGAGATGCAACTTTATGACGATGGGAAAGAGGTTCAAGCTTAGCAGATAGTCCAGGTCCAACAACATTTACAATGCGTTTTTGGACCTTGTCAAGAAGAGAAAGTGAATCGTTAGAAGAACCAGCCCAAATATGACAACAGTATTCCATACAGGGACGAATAAGAGATTTGTAGAGATAGAGAATGGAATCAGAAGTAAGGAAATGGCGAGCACGATAAAGAGAAGCAACCTTAGCAGAAGCTAATTTAGCAATTGATTGTATATATGGTTTCCATGAAAGGTCAGTAGTAAGCAATAATCCAAGAAGACGTAAAGAGGACGACTCAGTAAGATGATTGCCATTCATTAATATAGGAATGTTGACCATATTACGGTAGTTGTTTGCAGTAAGCAACTGGGTTTTTTTAGAGTTGAAATTCACAAGCCACTGTGAACCCCATCTATTACTGAAGTGAGATCGGATTCAAGATCAGCTGCTTGTTCTAGGCGATCGAAAAGAGAGGACTTTTTGTCAAGACAGGAATATAAAGTTGAGTCATCAGCAAAAAGAGCTACTTTAGATGAAAGGTTGTCAGGAAAATCGTTTATGTAGATAAGAAACAAAACATGGGCCCAGGATGGAACCTTGGGGAACCCCAGAAGTTACTGGAAATAAAGAAGAGTGATGGCCTTCAAGGATGACTTTAATAAACCGGTTAGAAAGAAATGATTTGATAATCTCAAAAACTTTCCCAGAAATACCATATGAAGCAAGCTTATGGAGAAGACCAGCATGCCAAACTTTGTCGAAAGCTTTAGATATGTCGAGAGCAACCGCCCTAGCCTCACCGCCTCCATCTAATGCACAATAAAATCTTTCAGTTACAGCAGTTAGCAAGTCGGCTGTAGAGCGAGAGGATCGAAAACCGTATTGATTGTCTGAAAGTAGTTTATTTGACTCAAGATGAGATGTGAGGAATTTGTTGATCAAAGACTCAAAGACCTTGCTAATAACAGAAAGAAGACTGATCGGACGATAATTGGAGGGGTCAGAATTTTCTCCAGAGTTTTCTCCAAAGTTCTTTGCAAATAGTTCTGCCTTCTCCTTGGGAGAGGTAATAAGATCAGTCCCATGAATGAGAGATGGAATGTTAGATCTACCCTTGTTAATAATGCTGTTGAAGATTTTCCAATATATATATATATATATATATATATATATATATATATATATATATATATATATATATATATATATATATATATATATATATATATATATATATATATATATACATATATATATATATATATATATATATATATATATATATATATATATATATATATATATATGTATATATATACATATATATATATATATATAAATATATATATATATATACATATATATATACATATATATATACATATATATATACTATATATATATATATATATATATATATATATATATATATATATATATATAAACAATTTTAAAATGCATTCTACAAATAGAGTGCTCAATAGACTGGGTGAATAAAAAAAAGCAAATGCTTTTACTCAGCATTTTTAGGGTAGCTTTATGTGATTAAAATTTTGAGAAAAACCCCTCAAATTTTATTCACGTAAAGTTAAGCAATTTACTGTATTTGCTCAGCTTTACAGTATTTACAGCTTTACTTTTATAGTATTTGCTCAGCTTTACATGAATAAAATTTAATCAAAATTGCTGATATTTTACTTTCACGAAAAGCTGACCAATTACTGAGTAATAGCAATTGCTATTTTTTGTTCACTCAATTATAGTAGCCTCCTTGACTGTAGTGGCCTTTTCAGCCTTGGGGAGGTGAATTAACATAAAAAAAATGAAAAAAAAATAAAAATAATAATTCTAATATATAAATTGAGCGTATCAATACTGTTCCATCTAAAACATTCAAAAACCATTAGATTCCCTCTATGTTTTATGGTAAGCAGTTAGAATTTGAGATCGTATTTTGTACCTACTGGATGTCAAGCAAACTTGTTTTCATCCCTATAAAGACTCAAAAACTTGCCAATTCACTGTAGCATTTTATATTTTCCCCTAAAACCTTATATCATCTGCTCCAGCCAATTTATCTATTCTTATTTTCATTCATCATTCTACATAAACATGCAGTCATTAATTCTACCAATACCAGACCTAATAAAAATACCTTCAGATTCTGGTATATATTCAACATAAAATATAAATATTTGAGAAAACAGAATTAGAATATTCAAAGTCTTCAGTTATCCCAGTAACTACATCAATTTTAACACAAGCAAGACTTCAGCTTAAGTGTTGACTTGGCTTTGCTCCTAACATAATCAAAAAATGATTTACATTTTTGACTAGCCTATACTTTAAATCAATCTTAAAGCCAAATTTTTATTTTCCTAATAAATTTTATGCATTTTTAACACTGCAGGAAACTACTAACCCATGGTGGCCACAAAATGTTAAAAGTTAAATTCCAGAACATTTCAGGACATTTCCAATTTATATCTGATTAAATGAATATTATCAATTATTTTTACTTTATATTTTTTTCATATTGATTGAATTATAGAATAGAATATTATATTATTATTACTTTCTTATTTAAAATTAAATTCAAACCATTTATATAAAAAAAATTTTCGCTTAAAAAATTTAATATTACTTCAATATTATTAGTAATTTTTTAACTTGACTCAAAAAAAAAAAATTCCAGGACATTTCAGGACATTTATGGAAAAAATGTAATTTTCCAGGACATTTCAGGACATTCCAGGACACTTGCAAAAATCCAGGACATTCCAGGACTGTGGTCACCATGTAACCACTGCAGGAAATGCAAAATCTTTTTTTGTGATTAAATTGGTTACTTCACAAGATATCCACAAGAGTTTGTATACTTAATGTTGATAACATATTAACTCTATTCATGTTAATTCTAAGTCAATGCTACCTTAAATGACAACCAAAATATTAGTTGAATACACTAATGCGGCATAATAACCAATATTACTATAAAATTTGTGGACTATAGACAAAATTCTGGATAACACACATGCATAGGTTAAATAATATTTATTTTATAAGATTAAAATTTTGTGAATATTGAAACAAAACCCAAATTATTTAAAATGTATGTAAAGATGTGTTAAGTATAACAAGTACAAAAGTTTCTATAAACTTAATATCCTTTACGTATAACTTAATATCCTTTACGTATAACATTTATCAAATAAACAAATGATGTGTAAAGCCCTTTCTTTCTCTGTGATATAAAACTTATTGTAAATTAAATATTTTTTAAAAAATTTGACATGTGGTCGTTCAAAATATTATTTTGACAACACGGCATGTATAGACGTCCGCAAAGTCCGAAAATGATGAAGCTCCGCATTCCTCTTTATTATTCCTTTTTTTTATTTTTTAAACATTTTAGTAAATCGTTGTACAATAAAATAGTTAACATTTAAAAAATAAAATCACACAACAAGAACTAAGTAAAAGATAATATAGTAAATAGATAGTACAGGTATTTGATTTTATAAAAAGACGCGGAGACTCGCAGAAGACCGTCAGGTCTTGTCATTGAGAACCGCTCGTAATTTACAATCTCAATAAATCATAATCAAATATAGTTGTATACCTCTATAAAAACTTGACAGCATAGATACATCAAACAATACATGAAATTATTAAGCGTTTAAAAATATATTATCCAGAAACAAAATTATCTCTTTAAGTTTATTTTTAAATGAGAGGTAACTCCATTCCAGAAAAAAATCAAAATGTTTTAAAACTATTTTATTCCAAAGAGAAGCTCCGCGAAATGCAATATTTGTTTTCCCAAAATTACTTTGATAAAAAGGTTGCCGAACTAAATTGTCATTTCTCAATTTGTATTTATTTTTATCTTTCAAGATATATAAATTATGGA